CAGAATAGAATAGAAGAATATAGGAATACTATTTAAATAGAATGGGGTGGGACGGGATATAGAAGAGAATAGATATTGGAATGAAGAGTAGAATAGAATTATTTATTGGCCAAGTGTGATTGGACATACAAGGAATTTGTCTTGGTGTAAATGCTCCTGACGTACATAAAAGATACATTCGACAAGAGTGAAGAATCATCAGGTGCAACACTTAGTAATAGTCATAGAGTACAATAAGCAATCAAATCATACTAAGAAACAATATAAATTGTAAGGATTCAAGTGACATAGTCATACAGTCACAAGTGGGAGGGGATGGGCAATAGAGTGATGAGAAGACTAACAGTAATAGTAATGCAGACCTTGTAAATAGTTGGGACAGTGTTGAGGGAATTATTTGTTTAGCAGAGTGATGGCTTTGGGGGAAAAAATGTCCTTGTGTCTAGTTTTTCTGGTGTGCAGGGCTCTATAGCGTCGTTTTGAGGGGTTGAAAGAGTTTGTGTCTGGGATGTGAGGGTCTGTAAATATTTTCACAGCCCTCTTTTGACTTGTGCAGGATACAGGTCCTTGATGGAAGGCAGATTGGTAGCAATTGTTTTTTCTGCAGTCCTAATTATCCTCTGAAGTCTGTATCTGTCCTGTTGGGTTGCGGAACTAAACCAGACAGTTATAGAGGTGCAGATAACAGATAATCAGAGTTGGAAGGGACCTTGTAGGTCATCTAGTCCAACCCCCTGCCCAAGTGGGAGACCCTACACCATGATGATACTCAATTCCTCTGTAGAACTGGATCAGCAGCTCCTTGGGCAGTTTGAGCTTTCTGAGTTGGCGCAGAAAGAACATTCTTTGTTGTGCTTTTTTGATGACGTTTTTGATGTTAGGTGTCCATTTTAGGTCATGTGATATAGTAGAACCTAGAAATTTGAAGATCTCTACTGTTGATACAGTGTTGTCTAGTATTGTAAGAGGTGGTAGCATGGGAGGGTTTCTTCTAAAGTCTACCACCATTTCTACAGTTTTGAGTGTGTTCAGTTCCAGATTGTTCCGATTACACCACGAGGCAAGTTGTATAACCACCTGTGTATGCGGATTTGTCATTGTCTCGAATGAGGCCAGTCACTGTTGTGTCATCAGCAAACTTCAATATTTTAACAGATGGATCGTTTGAGGTGCAGTCATTGGTATATAGGGAGAAGAGAAGTGGAGAAAGCACACAGCCTTGGGGGGGGGGGCTGTGCTGATTGTACAGGTATCAGATGTGATTCTGCCTAGCTTCACCTGCTGCTTCCTGTCTGTTAGGAAGCTTGTGATCCACTTAAAAGTATGTTCAGCTACCGCTAGCTGGTTTAGTTTAGTTAGAAGAGTGCCTGGAATGATGGTGTTGAATGCTGAACTGAAGTCTATAAAGAGGACTCTTGCGTAGGTATTTGGAGATTCAAGATGGTGTCGGATGTAATGCAGAGCCATATTAACAGCATCATCTGTCAATCTATTTGCTCAGTATGCAAACTGCATGGGATCTAACAGCGGATCAGTGATGATTTTCAGGTGGGGCAGCACAAGCCTTTCAAAGATTTTCATAATTACAGATCAATTAACTTAGATGAGGGAATAGAAGGGGAACTCATCAAATTTGCAGATGACACTAAGCTGGCAGGAATAGCCAACACCCTAGAAGATGATAGGCTCAGGATCCAGATGGATCTCAACAGACTTGAACACTGGGTTTCGTTTAACAAAATGAAATTCAACATAGAGAAAATCACGTGAAGTGTTAGTGCTGCTTTATAAAAGCATTAGTAAGGTCACTCCTGGAATACTGCAGCCAATTTTGGTCACCACTACCAAAAAGGATTGAGAGTTTGGGAAAAGTTCAGAGAAGAGCAACTAAGATGACCAAAGGCCTGGAGATGAAAACATATGAAGAACGGCTGCAGAATTTGGGTTTGGCTAGTCTAAAGAAAAGAAGAATTAGGGGTGACGTGGTAGCAGTCTTCCAGTGTTTGAAGGGCTGCCACAAAGAAGAAGAGGGGGTCAAATTCTTCAAAGCACCAGAGGGCAGGACAAGCAATGGACTGAAACTAATTAAGGAGAGAAGCAACCTGAATTGAGAAACTTCCTAACAATGAAACCAGTGGAGCAGCTTGCTTTCAGAAGTGGATGCTTCGTCACTGGAGCTGTTAAGAAGAGACTGGACCGCAGGGGTGGGTTTCTACCGGTTCTCTCCAGCGCCTCTGTAGAACCGTTAGCTCTGAAGAGCAGCAGACATAGAACTGGTTTTGCCCATCTGGGCTCTTACCTGACTTTATTGCCTGATTTTTTCAACTTCAGCTGCTGTGTGACGCACCGCTGCAGTTAAAAAAGCAGGAAAAAAGGGCTTGTTCAAAGGCTGCTTCTCTGCACACAGTGTGCTGATGACGATTTACAGGCTCACGCCAGCAGCGTGCAAGGAAGCACGTTGTAAATCATCGAACTGGTAGTTAACCCTGTTGGATCCCACCCCTGCTGGACAGCCAGAAAACTACCAACAGTTTCATTGTAAAAAGTATCCGGCCAATAAAGGAAACTATTTGTAGCTCAGTTGTTGAACACTTGGTGCCTTTGAGTTTAAGTGTCGCTTGCAGACATAACATCGTCCGCATGAATGAGTGTGGGGTCTGATCACTGTGTATATATGGCAGCTGGCCCTGCCAGTGTTGGGGGAGGTTTGGTTTTCTCCTGGCAGAACATCCTAATGTCCACCTGGGGACATCTACCACCTCTCCTTTGGGAGCTGTATCATCCGTGCACATCGCCCCTTCTGTTCGTATGGATGGTGCAAACTCCATAAGGTTCCCACCCTGGGCAGCCGCTTTGCCTTCTGACTCCTGGCTTTCCGGATCAAAGACTTCCCCTCTGCAAACCTCAGCAGCTCTGCCTGCCTGCCTGCCAAGCAGGGCCAAAAAATTAGCATTCACTAAAGTTTCTTTATTATTGTGCACACACATCTAGTAACATCTTGTTACACAAAGAAAACAAACCACATAACTGTTTTGTAATCTCAGGTTTAGACATAATTACTCGGCACTCAGTGGGCGAAAGGCAGTTGTCATCAGGGCGGCAGTTCCAGGGACGGGGCCAGGAATTTAGCCCCTGGCCCCATGGGGGAAGCCAGAAGGAGGAGCAGAGGCTGACAGCAGCAAACAAGCCTGAATGGCCCTGGGGTGCTGCTTTCCTTGGCTCAGAGGGAAGGTGGGGTAGGGGCTGCAGGGGCCGCTTGAGGGAAGAGAGGAGGAATTGCAGTGTGACGGGATAACTTCCAGCAAAACCCCAGAGGCCGTGAGCTGTGTGCTCCTTTTTCATGCCGACTCCCAAGGCCCGGGTCTGTTTGGGTCCCTTTTGTACCAGCGCTGGTGAAATCTACCTACAGAGCATTAGCAGTCAAAACCCGGCCAAGCTGAAGGGTAGCAGCTCCCAGGGAGGTTTCTTAGGAGGTGCTCTTCTCCAGAGAGCCTCTGCCACGGGCATCAGGGAGGGGCAGGGGAGACCGCCTCTCTGCCATGCCCTTCCACGGCCTGGCAGCGTCTCAGGTATTGCCACGGGACAGGGGTGGAAGGGAAGGGGTGAGGCTAAGAGCACCTGTTCCCAGGGGGCTCACCTTGCTCAGCTAAACGTACCAGAAGGAAACATCAGGACACAGAGGCACCAGGCGAAGTCATTTCAATAAGCCCGCTCCCTCACGGAAGGCAAAGCGAAGCCCACCGTGCTGTCTGATCATTGCTCCCAGCCTTCCCGCCAAACAGCACCATGACCCTGTTCCACGGGGCTCTCCGGAAAGGCTGGCCCTGCTCCCGTCTCTGCATCGCTCAGCAGCAGGGGGGCTCCTGAGGAGCTGGGGGACCCCCCCTCCCTCTGCCTGCTTGGCCGCTCTCCCTTCCCTTGGTGCTGGCCGGGGGCTGCTACTTGTGGGGCGGGAGGAAGTCGCTGCGCAGCAGGCGGTAGAAGAGGACAATGTTGATGGGCAGCATGACGGCCATGCCCGCTGTCCCCATGGCATAGGGGACTGCCGGGACGTTCTCCCCGTTTAGGGCCAGCCAGCGGCTCATCCAGGCCAAGATCAGGATGCGGAACACCAGGTAGGTACCGAGGTTGACGAGGCTGGCAAGGCGGAAGGAGGCCGTGTTGACCAAGCCAGCCATCCTCAGGATCGTCCGCAGGTGTAGGAAGATGGAGTTGATCTCTACCAGCAGAGCCACCATAGCGAAACCCACAAAGCGA